ACTTCATTCTCTGGCCTCCTGATTTGTCTTCCAGCTTCTGGGGTCCCCAGTGTGGGCAGAAGTGAGTCAGGAAGGGCTTCCAGTGTAGCACTTGACCCATGGACTTGAGCTGGACTGGGCCTGCCGCTCTGCAGCTGTGCGGGCTGCTGTCTTGATCTGTTTCTTCAGGGTACATATATGAGTGTCGTTGATTTTGTTTCCTTAGAAAACCCAGCCCAACATGGTCCATGCTCAAAACTCTAATCTACAACCAAAATTTACTCTTTTGTTTATTTTGTTTGACGGATTGACACAGTGGCTACAATAATGGGCTCAAATGTAAAAATGGTGAGGAAGGCACCGGAGTGGGCAGTACTTCATTCTGTTGTGCACAGGCTTACTGCTAGAGCTGGTGTGATGGCACCTGAGAACAACTAATGCAAACAAACGCTAAGTCTTTTGAATATTTAAGAGGTATAGCGGCAAATGGGAGATCAGTGAGACAGAAACACGAGGAAACATGTTGACATGCCCAAGACCACAGGGAAATATGTTAGGGTAATTGAAGACATGAAAAAAGTACCTTTATTCTCAGACTCTTAATAGTGCTATCTATTTCTAAGGTCTTTTTATTTTAAAATGACAAGTCTGTTGTGCCCAGTTGTATACTTTTGGTCTATCATATCAGGTCCTCTCAAAACGAAGGGAATAAGATACAATCTGTTAGTTCCAGAACTTATGGCTACTCTGGTGCCAAAATATGATGATGCTATTATTTATGAAGAAGAGAAATATAGTAAAAATGGGCAGTTTGTTTGAAAACGAAAGCAATTTTGTACTATGAAATGGATATATACTTTCCATATTTTATGCAATCTCAGTTAACTTTGGAACAGGGGAACCCCTCCTCCTGCAGGCCAAAGCACCTGTTTTGCACCATTAACTAACAGCTAGAAAAGGCTTTCAGGGCCCTTGCCTATTCTAGTGCCCAGTACGTAAATGCTAGACGTGCCTGTGTCTATAAAGCATGAGTGTGGGTATGCATTTGAAGCCCTGAATCTCTTAAATAGCATCCCAGGCAGGTGTCCATTTGATTTCCCCCTACATCCTCAAAAAGGATGCCATGTGAGAGGCATTTCTGATAAATATCTTAACAGGTGTGATGTATCCTAGCCATGCAAAAAGATATTTATTTTGCAGTATTCACCTGGTAAATTAAAACCCTTATGCTTTCACTATTCTCTATGAAGCACGTGCCAAATGGGGTGACTTGCTGGATGGATGAAACTAATATCCTATTCAAACATGAGCGGAACGTGTTGTGCTGCTCTTAGCATTTCAACCGAGAAAGAACCGAGTCCCGGACAGATTCCTGACCCAAAGTTCTGGCTAAAAGAAATGGAATCAGAGATACTTCTGGCTCAGAGACATAAGCAGCCATTTTGAAGTGATATTTGAGGCTCTAAAATACAAAGGACAATCACGAATAAACTCTGAACGAGCACTAGCTTCTCAACGCCAATCCAAGTGATGGCAGCATTCTAGTTCGTGCCATTCAGGCCTGCAGATGGCCGAAATGTGCAATGACACATGTGAAATTAAAGATAGCAAACAAGGGGCCAGTCATAGAGCAATGTTCTGCGAAAGTGTAAGGTTTGCAATCATCTACCTGAACACAATGCAAACTAAACAAGATAAATTCCATCCAAAGAGGAAACTCAGTTAAGTTACTCAAAAGGCAACATGGACAACATGCAGTCAAATCAATGAACACCAGTTACCACCAGTGCTCATTTACACATCTTCAAATGTGGTTTATCTTGTAGCTGGTCTCAGAAGACACTCTACAATAAAAGTCGGAAGCCACATCTGATCTGTGCAATGAGAGTCTGCCACCCCAGGAAGAGGAAAAAGGTGGCTTCTACACACTCAAGTCAGTTTGCGAGTGCTGGTGGCAGAGTGGTTATGTGTCGGGCTGCAAGACGAGCAGCTGAGCCACCAGTGGTTCTGCTGACAAAGAGGCGGCTTTGTACTCCTGAAGAGCGTTACAGTCTCAGTGTCCCAGGGGGCATTCCTACCTAGGCCTACAGGGTTGCCTTGAGTCAGAATCAACTTGAGACTGCACTGAGGTTTTTATTAATTTAATGAACAGTGGTCCATGGAACCTGAAGTCGTCTATGTGAGGTGGAAAAGCAAATGAGCACTAATGAGGACTTCACATATGCTGCCCAAGGGGCTTCTTGGTGGCTAGTTCTTTCCAGTCCGGAAGGCAAGTTTCAGGAGGTCTAGTCAGATTCGTTCATTTCCCAGCCTTGTAGTGAACACGTGTTTTTTAACTTGAAATTCTGAGTTTAAGGGAGACTTGGAAAATGAAAAATATGAGCTATTACTCCAAAATTCTCAAGCCTCCTGGTTTAAGGTAAAATTTTTAAATGAAGGTATAACCTAGGGACAAACTACACAAAGCACACGTATACAGATGGATGGACCTTCACAAAGTAAATACACTCACACAGCCAGCAAATTGGATCAAGACACAGAATTCCAGGAGCTCTCTCGGGCCCCACTGAAAGATCACCGTATCCTCACGTCCAACTCCAGAGATTAGTTCTGCCATTTTTGAGTGTACTAGCAATGAATCACACAGTATGGATTCTTCCCAGCCTGGCTTCTTTCACATGGTACTCTCTTTGTGCACCACGCGCATCATGTTGTTGTTGTTGTTATGTGCTGTGGGCTCAGTGCCGCCTCATAGGGATTCCATGCACAAGAACGAACACTGCCTGGTCCTGGGCAACCCTCACAATTGTTGTCATGCTTGAGTCCACTGTTGTAGCCACGTTGTCAGTCCATCTTGTTGAGGGTCTTCCTCCTTTGTTGCTGCCCCTCTACTTTACCCAGCATGATGGCCTTTTCTGGGGACTGGTCTCTCCTGAAAATATATTCAAAGTGTGTAAGATGGCAAAGTTTTGCCATCTTAGCCCCCAGGGAACATTTTGGCTGCGCTTTTTAAAAGACAGATGTTTGTTCTTTTACCAGCCCATGGTACTAATATTTTTCACCAGCACCATAATTCAAACCCATTGATTCTTCCTTTGTCAGTGTCTAACTTTCACAAACATGCATACATACAGTAATCCATCTGTGTAGACTAGAGAAACAAATTCATTGGCACTCATATTTATGTAAGAGTTTTATATAAAGAGTAATTGCATGTTAAGAAAACATCCCAGTCCAGATCAAGTCCATAAGTCTGATGTTAGCCTCTATGTCTTCAGACTCACGCAACACATGCAATGATGCTGAGTGCAGAAAGATAACAGACCAGTGGGTGGAAAGTCTTGTGGATCCAGTGGCGGTGGAAGCATCTCAGTGGTGGCGTGGGTTTCCCCACATGGCTCCTCCAGCTCCAAGGCTCTGATTCTATCAGTATAGCTCCATGTGGCTTGTCAACAGTAATGTGAGGCAGAGTGGGTGTCTGGCCTCCAGTGAGTTATTTATCTCCGTTGCGCCTCCAAATGAGGTCATCAAGCTGCGACCTGGTTGAGAGGCTAGACTACACATCTTCCTCAAGTTCACAGATCATATAACTGCCAAACCCTCCATTCTTATTCCCTGGTATAAATATGCAGAATTTATTCAAGTCATTTCTGGTTTCTGGCTGTGAATAATAACACAAGAGGGCCTTTAAAAGCTCATGGCAAATGGAGTAAAAAGGTAATGGAATTTCCCCACAAAAATTCCTATGGCTATTCCTGTTGCAGGTGGTGGTGTGCACATTAACAGGTATCTCTCTGGATTCCACCAATTGCTAGTGGTGGATTTACTGAGTCACGGAAATATGTATATTCAGTAAATCATTACTGCCACTTTCCCAAGACGCTGCACTAACTTACACTCCCATCAACTCCCGCGTGTGAGTTCCAGCTGCTCATAGCATTGTCATTTTTGTAGAAATGCAACTTCATGGATGTGGAGCAGCCCTGGTGGCACAAATGGTTAAGCGTCTGATCATTAGCCGGAAGGTTGGTGATGGACTCTCGGCATGCCACAGCCTTGACGGCCCCTGGAGCACTTCTACTCTGCCCACAGACTGGAGGGAAACAAACAACAAGCTGGGGGTAGTGGTTTATTACAATTTTTATTTGCACTGTCCATATCATGAATGAGGAATCCTGTTAGCACTGTCCTCTGAAAAGTCAATGGTTTAGACCCACCAGCTGCTCTGTGGAAGAAAGACGTGGCAGTCTGCTCTCTAAGGATTTACAGCCTTGGAGACCCTATGGGGCTATTCTGTGTCATCTATGATCGCTCAGCTGTAATACTCCCTGGCATTAGCTTTGATAGTTAATGAAGCTCATCTTTGATGTGTTTATTGGACATTTTGATATCTGCTTTTGTGAAATGCCTGTGCAGATCCTTGGCCCATTTTACAATAAGATTGCTTGCTTTTGAATGGCTGATTTGCAGTTGTTGTTGGTTAATTTTAGATGAATTCTT